GACACGTTCTGCTACGAATAAAACAGAAGCAATTAAAAAAAATCAAAAGAAAAAAAATTATGAATTAGCTTCTTTCTGTTTCACTAAGTACTTCAGGGCACACATGGATCCAAGGATTTAATAACTGGCATTTTTCTTTACACTGTAACAATAGGACATCATTACTGAAGCTAACAGTCTGTGAATCAGCAGAACAGTACCAGAGACAGTCTAAATGGCGTGGTAAAACACAAGAAAAACTAAAATATTTAAACTGAAAAATGAAACCTTAGTATGTACTCCAAATTTTCACTTCATACCCATACCAGAATGGCAATCATTTCACCATCGTATTATAACAAACATCCAACCATTTTCATTCCTAGCTGTCTTTTGCAAAGCTGTGAAATTCTCTACACTCATTTGACATGCTTCCATTTTTAGAGGTGAATCTGAGATACCTTTTGTAAACAAATGAGGTCATGCTGAGATAGGTAACTGAACTGCACCTCACAAAATCCTAGGTGGTAAAGGAATGCCTAATTCCAGTTAGCAATCCTTTCAAGCAGTGAGAAACCAATGACTAGTTTACCGAACTTTACCAGTACTTAGGTAATGTATGTATCACAGTGACTTTTACAGCATCAAGTGAAATATACACATATATTCAAAGCAACAGGAATTTACGGCTATGCTATGAAATGCACACAGGAGCTTTCAGAAACTGTTAGCAAAAAACAATTTGAAGCTTTGCCCTGTATTCTTCAGAACAATTATGTAAGTTTTCCAAACAGTAATGGAAATTTTAATAATCAAAATTACATTATCTTTTTATTTTTTCCTTCTTTTGATGCAATTTGTTCTCCAAAATAACGATACACAGGACAGCTTTGCAAAATGTTCCTGCCCTCATGAACTGCTCTGGCCCCAGGAGAACAAACTGACTGAAGTTACAGATACGCTGTTTAGAAAGTCACTTTCTTATCTGCAGGCACACCCCTTATTTTTTGGGAGAAATAGGTTTAACTCATCTGCAATGATGAGTTAACTATGTAACTCTTGAATGACAAAAAAAAATCTGAGAATATAACAGAGATCCCTATATTGTCATGAGAAATCTTTTCTGCTGCTGAGCTTGCTGCAAAGCATTAAAGTCATCATTTACTGCTAATAAGGCCTTGCACTGCAACCCTTTTGCATTTAAGCGTGGCAGTGACCAAGAGGGCTGTATATTTATATAGCAGATACACAGCACACTTGTTTGCTTGGGTGCCCTTCCTCCTTCCTCTCTCACTGACTTCCCATTTGATTCTCACCAAGAATTTCAGAAAGATCCAAAAAGCACTTTGAGTAAACCATTCCACAGAGCTGCAGAACCTTGACACTGCCCAAAGGAAAGGACTTGAGACACTGGCTAACAGAAAAGATGACACATATTGAAAAACAAGTACTCAGGCACAGGATATTGAAGAACAGTTGAAAATATAGTCTGCATCTCTGCAGTTCACAGACATCATGGGGTGTGATTTAGATTGACAGCAATGAACCAAGAACTTTGCAGGCTTAATTCTAACATTCCTGTTTTCCAACACTTTCATACGTAAATATGTTAAAATCTCAAATCTCAGAAAACTGTAAAAAACAATGATGTAACATGCAGACAGCATGGGCAACAAACATGAGGAGCTAGAAAGCCACCGTGCTGCTAGAAAGCTATGACCTGGTCACCATTACTGAAACTTGGTGGGACAAATCCCATGACTGGAATGTGGCTACTGAAGGCTACAGGTTGTTCAGAAGGGACAGGCGAGGAAGGAGGGATAGAGGGGTTGCCCTCTATGTCAAGAAATTGATAGAGCATGAAGAACTGTCTCTGAAGAACAGCCATGAGCAGGTTGAAAGCTTATGTGTAAGAATCGGAGACTGAGGCAACAAAGGGAACATTGTAGTTGGTGTCTATTACAGGCTGCCCCATTAAGGTGGGGCAAGACTGCAGGCAGCCTGGGCTGCAGTGATCATGCACTGGTAGAGTTTGCAGTCCTGAGGGATATGGGGCAGGCAAAGAGTAAAGTCAGGACCATGAATTTTAGGAAAGCAAAATTCCAGCTCTTCAGGGAGTTGGTCAATAGGACGCCCTGGGAAACTGCCCTCAGGGACAAGGGAACAGAACAGAGCTGGTAGATCTTCAAGGACATTTTCCATAGAGCACAAGAGCTCTCAATCCCCACGTGTAAGAAATCAGGAAAGGGAGGCAAGAGACCAGCATGGTTGAGTCGAGACCCACGGGTCAAACTAAAGGGCAAGAAGGAAATGTACAGGCAGTGGAAGCAGGGACAAGTACCCTCGGAAGAGTACAGGGACACTGCCCAGTTGTGTAGGGATGGGGTCAGGAAGGCCAAAGTGCAGCTGGAGCTGAACTTGGCAAGGGATGCAAAGAATAGCAAGAAGGGCTTCCACAAGTACATCAGACAGAAAAGGAAGGTCAAAGAAAGTGTACCCCCCTCCAAGAGCAAGACTGGCAAACTGGTAACAATGGGTGAGGAGAAAGCTGAGGTGCTCAACAACTTCTTTGCCTCAGTCTTCACTGGCAGAGTCTCTTCCCACACCTCTCGAGGGGATGGACTGCAAGACAGGGGACTGGAGGAGCAAAGTCCCTCCCACTGTAAGAGAAGATCAAGTTCAAGACCACCTGAGGAACCTGAACATGGTCTATGGGGCCGGACAAGATGCATCCCAGAGCTCTGAGGGAGTTAGCTGATGTAGTTGCCAAGCCAGTCTCCATGGTATTTGAAAAGTCCTGGCAGTCAGGTGCTGTCCCTGGAGACTGCAAAAAGGGAAAAAGTTGAACCCATCTTTAAAAAGGGTAGCAAGGAGGACCCTGGGAACTACAGACTTGTAAGCCTTACCCCTGTGCCTGGGAAGATCATGGAAGAAATCCTCCTAGAAGTTTTGCTAAAGCACATGGAGGACAGGGAGAAAGTCAGCATGGCTTCACCAAGGGTCAGTCCTGCCTGACCAACCTAGTGGCCTTCTACAATGGAGTGACCACATCAGTGGACAAGGGAAGAGCTACCGGTGCCATCTATCTGGACTTCTGTAAGGTCTTTGACAGAGTCCTCCACAACAAGCTACTCTCTGAATTGGAGAGATATGGATTTGATGGGTGGGCTGTTCAGTGGATGAGGAATTGGTTGGATGGTCACATCCAGAGGGTAGTGGTCAACAGCTCAATGCCCAGATGAAGATCGGTGATAACTGGTGTCCCTCAGGGGTCTGTATCTTCATCAATAACATAGTGGAAGCAACTGCAACCTCAGCAAGGTTGCAGACAACACCAAACTGAGTGGTGCAGTTCACACGCCTAAGGAACGGAATGCCATCCAGAGGGACCTGGACAAACTTGAGGAATGGGTCCGTGTGAACCTCATGAGGTTCAACAAGGCCAAGTGTAGGCCTAGACCTTGCACTCCTAGACCCTGCACCCGGGTCAGGGCTACCCCCACTATCCATATAGGCTGGGGAATGAAGGGATTGAAAGCAGACATGCCGAGAAGGACTTGGGGGTACTGGTGGATGAGAAGTTGGACATGAGCCAGCAATGTGAGCTCACAGCCCAGAAGGCCAACCGTATCCTGGGCTGCATCCAAAGCAGCATGGCCAGCAGGTCGAGGGAGGGGATTCTGCCCATCTGCTCCTCTCTGGTGAGACCCCACCTGGAGTCCTGCGTCCAGCTCTGGAGCCCTCAGCACAGGAAAGACATGGACCTGTTGGACCGGGTCCAGAGGAGGGCCACAGAACTGATCAGAGGGATGGAACACCTCTCCTATGGGCACAGGCTGAGAGGCTCCAGGGAGACCTTACTGCAAGAAAGGTGGGGACAAACTTTTTATCAGGGCCTGTAGCAACAGGACAAGGAAAGGAATAATGGTTTTAAACTAAAAGAAGGTAGATTTAGACTAGGTATAAGGAAGACATTTTGTATGATGAGGGCGGTTCACCACTGGCACAGGTTGCCCAGAGAGGTGGTAGATGCCCCATCCCTGGCAACATTCAGTGTCAGGTTGGACGGAGCTCTGAGCAACCTGATCTAGTTGAAGCTGTCCCTGCTCACTGCAGGGGGCTTGGACTAGATGACCTTAGAAAGTCCCTTCCAATCCAAACTATTCCATGATTCTATGGCTTTATACAACAGTGGCAAAAGAAAGGTTAGAACTTCAAAACCATTAATGTGCTGCATATGTGGTCTTTTGTGGTAAACAAATATTAATAATACAAAGTATGTGAAAACTAACCAAATACTATGCTATTTATTTTAGTGAAATTTAAGGTAGAATACCATCATTAAAGAAAATTCTATTTCATCATGATAGGACTAGAAATCTGCATATGAAGGACCACCCTATTTGCTTCTACTAGTCATGTAATAAAAAAATCACATAGCTAAGACTGCAGAAGATTCACCTTTGCCGGAAGACCTTTCATCATCATGTCTTCCTGTAGATTCTGTCCCTTCAAAAACTACCTATTATTGTAACTTGTACTGTATTGCTTTTTACGAGAGAACATTTATCATAAATACGGTTAAGATTGACCTGTCATTCTTTTTAAAGCTATTACAGATCTGCTTCAGAAAAGTATCTTACTGAGGCTAGCAATTTCCCTCTCATATTAATTTGAAATTACTGAGGAAAAAAACCTCCTCTACAAATAGACACTGTCCATAACCTTGTTTACTCTAGACTTAAAATGGAAGGTTTAAAATTGGAGCCATTTTAGTTCAATGGAAGAAAAACTTCACCGATGAATAGAGAACCTGTTGGTAGAAATAGGCATTGCCATATTGAATGCCGCAGGTTTGCATCATTTGTTACATAATTAAATCACTTACGAAGACACATTTTGTTGTACATTTCTTCAGACTATAGTACAATGAGGAATTAATGTGCTACACAACAGACTACACACTATAGTTTCCCTAGCTGGGAGCTGTAGAGGGAAGCCAGGAAAGAACCGAGGTTTACCTTTTTTCATTTCCATATGATTTCTGCGCAACTTTCGCATGGAGTATTAGGACTGTTTGATCACCTCGCTCCTTCAGGTAATTTCGCATTGCTTCCCTAAAAATTAAAAGACAAAATAAGCTTTGAAAGTCCTTCTGGTTTTGTTTGTAATTATAACAATCCAAAGACAGCTTTAGGACACAAAAACCCAAACACCTGAAATTCAAAAAAGGCAACCATTACCAGTGTCAAAATGAGTTTGTTTTGGTTTTTAAGACAATTACACAGCACAAAGTAGCAACTACCTTGCATGGAGCTAGCAGTAGGTGTCTGTGGTCATTGACAATTACTACATTTTCCAGAAAAAAAGATGCTTGTGATGTAAAATCATACCAATGCCAATCACTACACCATGTTCAAATCCCAGTTTTAGCAAGTACCATGCCAGAAATATTTGATTAGAACACACTTTATAAATTCAATATTGTCTCCTTAACCAATTTAGACTCTCATGATAATGACAAATTGTTCTGAAATTTTGTTTAAGCTATTAACTAAATCAATGAAATGTTTATATAAACTTTTTCTTTTGGTTGTGAAGATACTAAGGAAAAGTTAAATTCTTGACCTTATTGCTTCATCTAGTTTTCTAGAAACAGCCTCTACTTCCTGCATACAATCAGGTAAAAAAATAAATTAGATTTTCTATCGTTCTTCATCACTGTAATGACAGACATCATATAAAAGCTATAATTACCTCAAACACACTAACAGCAATTCCTTGAGAGAAGCAAGAGAACAATGCACCCTATCATTCTTCCATATAATAATCTAACTGTTCATTAAGCAGCATGCCAAATTCAACACCCTAGGGTTTCGCTGTGTCAGAGTGCTGACAGGAACACTTTCAAGTCCCTGGAGGAGTTTTTACAGGTTCAATACCCATCAATGCACTCATCTTCAAAGTCATCAATCAGAGAAACAAATTATGAGTTTAATAGGAAATTGTATGAAGAGATGAAACCCTACAGAAGAGAATTTCTTTTGGGTTGTTTTTTGTTGTTTTTTTTTTTAACAGCATCCAACTGCTGAATTCTCTCTGGCAGATCTAGAAAACCAAATACTTCCACTGAAAAGCAGTATTTTGTTAACATGACCTTTTTCCAAAAGAAATCTCCACATATAGCTTCACAGAGGAAAGCAAGTAGATTGGGGGGGAGCGGCAGGTAGTGTTAGACAACAACACCATTCCAGCTTTGCTAATGATGTTTTGTAAATTCTTGCATTTATCATGTCTGCATAAGACAGTGATCACTGTGCTGGATTTTCTGTGTGAACAGCAGGATATGAGACCAAAGACTTGAATTACTGTTTTAAGTCTGGACTAACTTGATCTATTTACATTTGTCATTGATAAAACTGATGTTTATCCATGAAAGCACAGATGGAAGAACTATCTCAAAGCACACAGACTTACTTCATTTACAACCATTGTTTAAGAATATATTTTAAACCACAAACATAATTCACTGTGAAATTATTATTGTACATTTCATTATGATATATATTAGTTGCATTTACGTGGTTTAAACACTTTTTATCTGACAATTTGAAATACTCTATTAAGAGTACTGTCATACTAAATTAAGAACATCTGTTGTACAAAAAACTTTTGACTTGACTACTGTTAAAAAAACCACTCAAAACCAGGAACCCATGCACAAAAATGCTAGGTGATATCTAATGTTTATTTAGCATTGTAGGAGAAAGAAATTCTGCCTTTTCTACTACTGGTCTGTTGCTACAACGGGCTCCTACAATCCAAGCTCCTAGCAGAACTAGGAATGTTCCCCTCCAAACCCTCCCACTGATAAAGAAAACATGTAACCATTGCAATTCTTACGCAACATTTTTCATTATTAAATCTTAAAGCTCTCCACAAAGGTAATACTATTGTAGTTTACATCTAAAAGCAACTAGCACAGTATGAACAAAGTAGCGTTGTTCTGCTGGAGCTTGTACAATGCTGAATAGATTATTAGACAAACAGGACTGCCTTTACAAAAAAAACCAGAATAATTTTCCAATAATTGAACTAAATGCCTTTAAGTGTTTACATATACATTTTTAAACATTACATAAACAAATCATACCTCTAAAAATATGTGTGCCTGTTTTTCAGTTTCAGCATTTTTTTCTTCAGAGGAAAAAAGTTAGGTTGCTTGTTTCCAGCTTCTATCAGTATAGAAAAGGTTTACAAGCTACTGCTTTGAAGGATGGTTAGCAGTTCCCAGATGCCTACCCTGTACTCACAGGAAAGAGTACCTGGCACATCTAGTAGCTAAAATCCTGCACCTTAAATTTAGAGTCACTATAGTTAATAGACAATTTAGTTAAAAGACCTTATGCTGAACAGTCATTATTTTTGTTGTTCTTTTTAAATCATAGAAGATAAATTCTATCAGTAGCTTCTTGGTGATACTAACAGGTGTTACTGCTCAAGATGGAAAACAGTTCATTACTTTAAATATCCCAGAAAATAGGTAAGCTAACAGGAAACAGAAATGTTTGTTCAATTACTTACAAATCAGTATAGATCAATTTTGCATTGAAATGATGTTTAACATTGACACAAGGTACCCTGGAGCTTATCCACAAATGCAATGAGATATCCCCAACACAACATGTAAATGCTCTCCCCCACCCCATGTTTTACATGAGGCATCATAAATTAATTTAAAAGAGAAGTAGGCCAGAGTGACAATGGGTTTCCATGTCTTTATACGGCACTATTACTACACAAAACTATAAAAAAATTGCACATCTTCTGTACTTCAAGCAAACAGTGGGTTTTAAACTCAGTAGCTGCTTACGATCAGCACAGTTTGTGGCACAGAATAAATATCTGCATAGACTGTGTTACAACAGTTTGAAAAAATGGTGACTACTCAACAGCTTCTAGTATAAATACCTCCCAGGTAGACCAGGAGCACATCAGGCACTGTTCTCTAGTCCCTCTAAACACTTTTAAGAATTGACTGACTTGATGGTCCTATTTGATGCTATCTCTGACTGTTTAGGTTTCACCAAAAATTGGTTAAGAACACTCCCTGACACAGTGTTCATTTTGCTCTTACCTGCTGCATGACACCAGTAATGTAATAGCTGAATATTGGCAGTATAAAGTGTTATTTTACATGACCTCACAAGACACTTTTACTCAAGAAAAGAAACTGGCTCCTTCCTGGTGATTTAAAACTATGCAGATTCACATCCTACTGAATAATCTACAATAACTGATATGTGAAGTCAATACCATTTTTAAAAAGGCATTTTGAGTTACCATATTAAGAACAGGCCACTCACTGTTCAAAATTTTACTTCTGGCTGCTGATAAGCATACAATAATTGAAAAGCTTTGAAATTTAAAATTCTAGTATTAGCAAGCCACAATTTTTAAATTTAGAAATCTCTCTGAGAATGAAAAGGGTAACTTTAGAAAACTGTTAAAAAACAGGATTTCTTTAATGCTTACCTGGTGAGCCGTTTCGGTTGAGGTCGCTCTCCAAATTTCCTGAAAAAAGAAGAAGTTGCTAATTTAAAACAAAAGTGTTTAGTCATAATTTTACAGTGAAACACTACCCCAATTTCACTATTTTTGAAAATGCACTGGAATTTGGTATCTTGTCTTTGTAATTTCCTACTATTAAAATATCAACCACCTCCTTCCAACAGCTTTTCCCACAACAGCAGAGGCTTTTTTAATTTGGAACACTAGATAACTTTCATTGCTAAAGTCACATTTACTTTCTCTCTGATTCACTTTTGAAAAGTTCAGATATCACAAGTATGTAAATAACCAGGAGATCTTTGCCATATCATTGTCCAGAAGTACCAACAAAAAACAGTTTTCAACATACAGAAATTAACAGACTTCTCTCCAAATTGAGAGATCACGGTGAACGCTTCCCATCAGGACAATTTTTCAGAAATCTGTTTTTCCTTAATGACTTCTCACAAAAAGGATGACAACGTATTTCATACATGCTGGTAGAGAATTCTAAGAAAAATCTCACTTGTGGAATGTAAGCCAAGCATGATCCAGAAATATCCTGCTACATGCTTAATGGTTTTTAGCCATAAAATGTTTTGAGACAGCTGTATTTCTTTCAGTGCTTTAACACTGTTCTTGAGAGAGAGTATACTCTTTGAACTAGGTTAAGACTTTCCACAAAAGTCTTTATTTACGTTAAACACTGAATTTACACAGGACAGATACATTCTCAGTCATAAAAACATTCTCAGATTAAAGCAAAATGCTCAGGTAAAAGACCTGAAAAAAGAAAGGTCGTACCCAGCAATGTTCATCTGCTCAACCTGGTAATGAAGTATAACCACAAGCTAAAACGAGGACAAAAAAAAAAAAAAAATAGGTAGGCTTAGCTTAACACCTTTCTACCTAAAAATAAACTGAGGCTTAAGAGACTGTGCTTCTGCTGTCACTGTTCATAAATACCTCTGTGACTTGCCAGAGTCTTTGATGAGTGGGCATATCTTTCCCTTTATGCCTCCCAGACAGTGAAAAAACCCTCTTCTAATACTGCTCCCTAGGAGTTGGAGGCTCCCTAGGACAACAAGAACTTGATCATTAAATGATATGACAAGAAATTCCCCTGTTTGTGCAAGTGGATCTGTCCTGAACTCTACAGCAACTGGTGGTGAAATGACTAGGTACATTCTCATTTGAGTAATTCTAGAAATGTACAAAGTAAAAATACATAGCTATTGCCATTTATACAGTTGAGCAGAATAGCACTCTCCTAAAAAGTCAGTGACAAGAACATTCAGCAAATTTTGAAGTTATTTTTCAAGACTTCAGAAACTAGTTTTATATAGCACTGGTAGCACTCTACATAGGGGAACCGAATAAACAAGATGAAGCCAAAGTATTTTTTTTTCAGTTCAAACAAAGAAATTAAAATTTATTTTTCTGACCAAACAGAAGTTCCTTTCACATTTTGCTTTGTGTTGTTAGTATACTATTCATTTGTTTAGCTTTATTTTAACTTTAAATGAAACAAGCTAAAACTCTTGCTGCAAGATTTGTTTTTATATATTTTAAATTGCAAAGTCTTTTGGACACATATGGCATTTATAATTTTTCTCTGTGGTATGTATCACTGCATTGTTGTATTTGTAATGCAGAAAGTTAATTAGAAAAGCCAAACAGCTTTGCAGTTTGGCAGCAGGAAAGTTATATCCCAAAGCCTTTCTGCTTCTACCACTTATCTTTTCAGAATCTGCCTAGCTTCATCACCTGAGCACACCCTGTGCTTCTGATTTTCCCTGGATAACAGCGTGAGTAGGTGTGCGTATCCCACAACACACACCCCATCTCACCCCCACTATCTATGTAGTTACTGTTCTCCCCTGAAGACGTAGGATCATTGTATCTTGGCAGAGGATTCACCTGTCTGTGACTCACTGACTAGACAACAGATTACCTTTAAGCAATACTCTACAGACAAATAACATCCCTACAGATTAGCTCCCTGATTTTCAGTAGAACTACAGTCTTTGTTTCAATCCCTCTGCACATTTTAATTCATCGCGAAAAAAATTAAGATGTGCCTATTTTGGAGCAAAGGAGGTATTACGCACACCACACTTGCTTGTACTGTGGCCAACAGATCCAATCCAAGATGAAGACATGAGTACATCAGAAACTGCATTAACACAAAACAACCTCCCAGACAAAATTTTACACTTCCCTAAGGCAATATCTACCCATGCAGAACTCTTGTGCGCAGCAGATACGTTCCCCTTGCACGTTTGCTGCCTAAAAAGAGCTTTATCAACAAGCTTTATTTGTGTCTACACAAAACAGTTGCAATTAAAGAAATAAACCCCATCTTTTTCTTTAGTCAAATCTTGAATATATAGAAGATATATAGATTTGGCACAGGAAAAAGTGCCAAAATCCCCGTTCTTCAGAGGCAGAGCTAAAGTACTGAGTCATTCTAGAGATGCACAGGGTAAACTCTGATCTTCTGATGCTCAGTGCAGTACCTTTATAAATAATATGCCAGTTTTCCCTAGCCTACTCCATCCAAAATAACGATGTCACTGTAATCAACTTGTGAGCACATATAAATGCTAGCCTTAGCAACACATACCTTCCAGAGAGACAATGCAAACTACATTTGGTAGATCTTTTATTGTTCCTTCAATGTACATTAAAGGGAGAGGTAGAATAGGAAGAAATTACATATTCATACTTAAAGTCCAATTTTTTACTGTCTCAAATTCACATACTTTTTCCTCAATAACGTCATCTTAATGGACAAAATGACACACCTAGCCTTGGTGCCAATCAACAGCACGTTCCCGTACCATCTCAAAATCATTTCAAACATCCCTAAGAACTCTAAGATTTGGCCCTCAAAACACTTAGAATAGTAGACATTTTCACAGGGATAACTATGTTTTAGGAAAAATTAATGTGACTTGTACAGGAATGCTGTAGATCAAATTATTTAAATAAGTGACCAATATGTACATGAATAAGGTTGACTGACATTGCGTTCTCCCACATCCAGTAAAAAACCTTCGTAGCTCAATAACAATAGTCTAAGAAGTTAGAATTTAAGAATGATTAAGAATGGAGTAGGAAACAGAAACGTTACCATGTCATAGCTTTATTCTGCTACACACCCACAATTCTGAAAACTGACTGAAGTTCACTGAAAACGTAGTGGAAAAAAGTTGCCTCAGAGTAATAAAAGATACCACAAAAGTCAATACGGTTGATCAATAGTTTTCATGTCATTGGCTAAAACTCTTTAGCCTTTAGTGAGAGTAAGAGCATGAATGAAAAGTGACAAATAGAGGCAAAGACCTAAGAGACTAATGAAAGATACACAAAATGTGAAAAGGAGATGGTTATTCTCGATATCTCACAAATACAGGCATTAGTAAATATATCTAATATCTGAAAATTTAATTTTACAACAAAAAAATTTTCCTTGCTCTACAAACACTGTTATAACTAAGTTGTGAAACATATTGCTAGAGGATATTGTAGAGGTTGAAAGAACAAACAGGCTCAAAAGATTAAACAGAACTCTGGTACTGAACTCCATTAGCTTCTATTAAGCATAATGACCCGATTTTTTACAACCCTGTTCTTAGGAAAACCTAAGCCATGTTCTACCAGCAGCAAAGAAGTTACCAGGAGGGAAAAAAAAAACCCAGCCTACATTTAACCTGTCTTTCATATTCTTTCCTTAATCATCCATTACTGATGACTAGCAGGCACAGTCCAGTACCTATACTTCTATGAACCAGATATATTCCACAGCAACAAATGCATCCAGGATGCCAGATTTTCATTCACATTGCAAAACTCAAGATATACAAACAAAACATGAAAATTAAAAAAAAAAAAAGTATCACATGTATTTTATTTAATGGTTCATCTGGTTTACTCTTTCCATTTGTTTGCAACTTGATGTGGATACCTGTATTGATAACACAACCTAAAGTACAAAAAGTATCAGTAACTACCATATAGAAGAAAAGACTAAGAGGCTTTTTAATTTTTCTGATGTTCATAGTCCATTTCAAAGTGCAAACCCCACATTATCTACAGTTTTGTACTAAATGTACATTGTACAAGCCACGATTGCTGTTATTTCAAACTTCTGTATTTGACTGGCATGTTGAAAAATGAGCCAGTTCAGACATTTCAAGGTTACTCGTCAGAGATTATAAGAGACTGTGACATTTTTCTTGCATAGGTTTTCCCTGGATTTCACTGTTCTGGAATTTCTTTTTATATTCAGTATTTCTATTTCTACTCTTTGTTTACATCTTGAAAATAGGCAGATTGATGGATAACAAAAATATACAGGAGAGGAAAAATGAGTCACAGTTCTATTCCTATATTGGATATTAAACAAGCTAAATACATAAAATTTGAAATCCTAATTATAACTTATATATCATTATATCTGAATGCTCACCAAGTTCCTTGCCTTCCCTGTTTTTTTATTTTACTGTCCAAGACTAAGAGCTGTTTTAGGTGTACTGTACTGGAATTCTGGACATACAGTCAAGTTGTTGTTTCAATTCACAAAACTAATTCAGGGCAAACTGTATTTTATTAGTATTTCCCTAACATACTGCACAGCAAACATGAATGTGAGCATTAGTCACACTAGAACCACTTGCTTTTGCAGCAAGTTATACTTGTTCTAATAATTCATTTCCCAGTCTGTATTTTCTCCAACCACTAGTTTGTATTCTATTATTTCATGTATTTTATTTGTCTTCTGATGCTTTGCATAAATTAATTTCACTTCCACATTTTGCACTGTAGTAATAACTTTTCTCCCATATCATGTCCCAAATAATTCTTCATTTCAAGTCCATCCTTTTCATTTAGCAAGTCCCAGTTTGCCATTCAAACTTTCATTCAAACTTCTTTGAAATGTCAAAATGGGAAGTGAACTTACTCTTTTTCTTTTTACCCCTTTACTGCCCCTCAAGTAACTATGGAAATAAATAAGTGC